TTGTTCCAAAAGCAATTCTATAAACGTTGACTCTAGTACTACTATGATTTAAAAACAAAACAAAAAGACAAAAAAAACAAAACACAAAAAACGTTCTTCCTCATTTCAGATACACTGGATTCTTTATAGAGTTTGTCGCCACATGAAAGCATGCTGTCCAGTTGTTCTTGTTAATAAGATCTTGTCTGAGTTTTGAATTGGGTGCCACACTTTTTCAGTCGATATGACCGCTTGTTCTACTGTACCATGTATGATTCTTGTCCTTCCCTAGATCCTTCATGACACATTATGATGTGGCTTTATATTGTGCCTTACTTGTACATTAAAACAAAACGTCTTCATCCCCTTCCACTTCCTAAATCTTTCACTTTGACCTTTTTGGTAAGAGAATCAGAGCTATTATAAAAACATCATGAAGGATTTCAGATGGGTCTAGTTTCAAGTTCCCTCTCTTCATAGTTATTTTATGTTTGTATGGAAGACCAGTTTTGAATGGTCTTTGAATATGAGGGGGAAAGAGTAGCAGTAATTTGACTCCATCTCTTTTTTCTGACTTTCGTGCACGTGTCACACATCTTCTTTCTGATGCCTGACTTTATTTGCTCCTTAGCAATAGTCTGCATTTTAAGAAAGGTGTGTTCAGTTCATCAGCTTGAAATTGACTATTTCATTTTTCCAGAATTTTTTAGAAGAAGAGTACCCATTTTGTTTGTTTTATAAAACAGATGACAAGTCTCTTTAAAAGAAACAGAAGTACAGTACTTTTGAAATACAATGCTGTTAGTTTGGATTTCTTTTTTTATATATAATATTCATACAATTATCTGATGTTTGCCTTCATTAATAAAGCTGTTAGTTTATTCACCAAAATGTCAAGAATGGATGTGCTTTTCTTTATTCCATACATTTAAAACTATTTTAGCTGCTAAGATTTAGTTAACTTTCTAAGAGACGAATTCAAGTTGCCTTCAGCAGGAAGTAACAAATTTATGTTCCCTTTCTTTATATAGTCTTCCTGAAACTCTGTTTAAGTATTTTCTAGTTAATTATGTAACAGAATGTTAGTGTCTCTCTAAATCTTGAAACTTGAATTTTGAGAATGCATTGAATTATGCTTTTAGTGTTAAAGTAAAAGGTTTCAATTATCCTTCTAGTGAAGTCTATTGTGGAATACCATTTCCCGTGGAACTGAGGCCATTTCCACAACTTTGCACAGAACTACAGTCTTGTTCTTCCCTCGAATCATGACAAACAAGTCTCACACAGTGCCGTAATACTTGTGGATTCTTTTGTAATCTTTGTAATCTTAATAAGGGCATTATGAGAAGATGACTCCATGTTTTTTTAATATTTCAAACACAATGGGATGTAACAATGAATGTCAGCTGTAGGAATGGTTGTTTCGTTTTAAGGAATAAGTGTGTTGGGGAAAGATGATGAAAACGTACTACTGAAAGTTTTACACTTCCATAGGCAAGTGGGGTTATGTGTTGAAGCATAATCCTCATGCTTAGTAAACTGACTGATATTGTAGAAATTACACCTAGGAATTGAATTATGCCAAATTGCCATTTTTGTTTGTTTGTTTCTAAGAGAGATTTGGGCGTAGTAGTGAGGGAACAGAACCTTAAAACTGCTTCCAGACAGTATTTTGGAATTGCAGACTTGGTGACTACTCGAGAACATCAGAGTTGGGTATTTCGGTGTGCCAAGTTCAGGTGAACTAGGTTTGCCTCTTTCATAACTGTAAACACAATGGTGTCGTTGAATTCGGGGTGGACGGGAGCGGGACTGACTACTGTGTCTTGCCCTTCGCCCTGTTTTTTTTCAGAACCAAATAACAGAAATGTGTATGTGTGTACTGTATCTGCCTTTCCATCACGTTTTTATGACACTGTACTCCACTGCCTGCTTTTTCTTTTTTACCTTCTTTCCCTAGGATTTGTCCTATAACTTAGCATTTGTGGTTAACAGTGATACGAGGGCTGACCGCACATAAGTCACAAGAGAAGAGCGGAAGGAGGGCAAGAATTCAAAGCATTTGTTCATACAATGTGGCAACCTCTCTTGCATAGTTGCGTAGGATCCTGTTTGTAACGCTATCATAAATATTCTGTAGTTTTGTTTCCCTGTCCCCCTCAACTGGAGCTATGAAACATTTTATTGGATTCAGTCTTGTCTTTTGTCTAGAAAGAATTTTATCTTGTTGACGCATGAGCTGTTTAAAACTTATTCTATTAAATGTTGGTTAATAGTTGTGCAGTTTTTCTTTTCAGAAGAAAAGGCACTTCAGCTGTTGCCTTTGTTTTCTGTCACCTTCCAAGCCCTCAGCACTTCTAGTCAGATACAGATTCATCAGTGTATGCAACATCCTTTGTAATTTAAAATAAAAAAAGATGAAAAGAAAAGGTTTTGAATTGTTTGCCTCATGTTTTTGCCCTTCTGTCTCTCTTGTTTTTCTGTTGCTTACTGAGATAAAAACCATCAACTCCCCTTCCAGATAACCCACTGCAAAGAAATTCCAAACGAAAGACAGCCGTGAACTGTGCATCACGCCACCCCTTCTCTTGGTGTAGTGTACAAAGAGCTAACTTTTTTTCTTTTTCTTTTGACACTTTGGGCTGATTTCCCAGTAATTTAGTGAAACTTAGCTATTAGGCAGAATTATTTGTTGATAAAAGCATTTGCATTCTTCAGTTTACAGCATAGTTTAGTTTGTAGTTATTTCTCCTCTGATTCTTTGGGCAAGTGATTTCTCTGAGAGAAATAAACTATTTTGTCGTCTCCTCATTCAAACATCTGTAGATTTTTGTGTGTTTCATTCCAAGTCCTCGAGCGAGGCTGAACGTATGTAGAGCCTTAAGTCAGGAGATCCACTATAGCAGTGCATCCCTTCTGCCAACAAACAGACTTGTTCCTTCTGCCAAGACTTGTGCTAGGTACTGAGCTGTGAGATGAGAGGCCTCCAGTCTGCTAAGGGAGGTGGCCTGTGAACAGGACCATAGCACAACACAAGAGCTGTCACGCACGCAAAGGGCTCTAGGTATGTTATCGCCGAGGTATTTGCAAGGATACAGGCACCACATCCAGTGGGTATGGTAGAGAAGAATTGACAGGCTTGTGTTCCTGACATGCCTGAACCCGTGAAGAAGCCCTTTGTGCATCCCTTGAGTGACACTGAGGCCGTCAGGAAGCAAAGTGGACATGGTCTCCCATGCATGATTGTGCTTTAGGACTTGACCTCTCAAGACCACGCTTCACAGGAGCCTCTTTCACGGTCCAGGAACTTGAAGGAGCTCGGTGAGCCAGGTCTGTATAGTCCTTAGGCAACTAAACCTCCTGTGAGTGTCACCCAGGTAGATAGGTCATTCAGTTGTCCCTGTTTGCCAACATTGATTTTGGAGCCAGGAAAGCTCCTTTGCCACAAAGAAAAACATTAGTTGGGAAATCTTTTAATATTCTGACTGGAAGGTTCAGAACAGCAAGAAGGCGTGAGAAAGTCCTAGATGGCTAGAATGGCATTCACTGAGCTCCTGCTAGGTGCTGTCCTATCAGAGAACTGGGTTGCTGCTCTCAGTGGCCCAGTCATCAGACTAGACTCAGATATGGGGACTCACCCCAGACCCAGCATATGACACAGAGCTCCAGCTCAAACTCCAGTCTGCTGCACTCAGAAACAATTCATACTCATCTCTCAGGGACCAGGCCAAGTCACAGGCAATATTTGGATGGATGTCTGTGAAAGACGGAGATAATGGGCTTAGAATCTGAAAACCAGAAAGACCTAAAGGAACAAAACCCAGTTAGTAACCAAAAGCTAGCCTCAGGATCAGTGAGTAAAGGTGGTGAGAGCTAAACAGCATTGCGAGTTGGGAGTGGGTCACCAAATTACATACCTATCTCTCAAAGATGGCCTCTAGTTGGTGGGCTTACAATTGGGTCTTTTTGTTAGAAGGGTGTATGTCGGAGGGTGGAGAAAAGGAGAGCTGTGTTTTCTTCTTTCATTGCTGGGAGATGCAGTTGGGGACTATTGATTGCATCGGTATTTCCAGCAAGAAGCATGATGTGAAAGGGCCCAAGGTCATGTGGGCAGATCTGTCACCTGAAGACTTGGTGCTTCTTCACTCCCAACTAGGGAGCTTTTGTTTGGGGATCCAGATCATTTGACCTGAAAAATGTCAACCTCAGTTTCTTTAAAAGGTTTTAATCTTAAAATAACATTGCTAGGGATTAACTGTATGAGGTCTAAAGAAAACTTGAGAATACTAAGAAGGACACAGAAAACTTGAAAAAAATACAAAGATAGACCAAGTTCTTGAACAGGAACAGTCAATAACACAAAGCTGTCTTCCTAAGTTAAATAAAAAATGTAATGCCATCCCAATAAGGATATACCAATAGGGTTAAAAAAACAAAGTTCCCATGGAGAAATATAATAGGTGGGAGATGCTGGGGAAGAAAAAGGGGTGTTCAATCCCAACATATTAAAACACATTATAATTAAAAGTGTCATTTTGGTGCATGAATGAATAGACAGGCTAACAACAGAAACAGATTCAAACATAAGAATTTAGTATAGTAAATGTGGCATCCTGAACTTGTGAAAAAAAGATTCTTCAGAAAATACTGTTGGAACTACTGGGTAACCTTTTGGAAAAAATTAAGGTGGCTCTATATCTCACATGATAAGCCAATACACTTCTCATCATGGGTAAAGATCTAAATGTAAAAAAAAAAAATCATAAAAACAATTCCTGTGAGTGGGGGAAGACCTTTTTAACTTGTATCCCAAATCCAGGAGTCATAAATGAAGACTGATAAATTCTATGTGAAACAAAAATAAAGCAAAAAATAGAATACTTTTTTTTTAAGAGAAAACATAAGTTTATTTGAGCCAAACTGTTTACAATTGCTGGGAAGCAAAATCTCAACAGAATGAAAAAATGCTCCGCAAAATGGCGGTTTGCAGTTTGTTTTATACGTAAAATCAGAGGAGGAAAAAAAAATTTTTTAACTTTAAGGCCAAAAAAACCCCACCATAAGCCAATTCAAAATTCCCTAGACTAAGAAAAACACTCACGGCTGAGGGCTTAATCCTTCTAATATACAAAGAGTTCCTGGGAACTGATATAAAAAAGACCAACAACCCAATAGAGAAATGAGCAAACAATAAACCAATACAAATAGCTCTCACCCTCATTCATGATAAGAAACATGCAAAATAAAAGATGGCATTTTTCACTTAAGATGGCAAAAATCCCAGTATTTGTTAATACACCATGTGGGCAAGGCCGTGGGAAAGCTGCGTTAGTACCACACGCTGGTGGGAGTATAAACTGACAGGTCCTCTGTGAAGAGCGGTTTGGTCGCATGTATCAGAACTGTTAAATGCACATATCCTGGGACCTGGCAATTCCATTTGCACCAGGCAAAGCCATTCTTCTCCTTGCCTATTTGCTCGTGTGTAAAATGGGATAATTCTGTCGCATGAGGTTGTTACGAGAGTTAAGTTAGATGATGCACATAAAGCACTTAATATAAATGCCTGGCACATAGAAAGTGCTCCAAAAATGTCAGTAATAATAGCCGGCAAGGCGCACCGCGTTCTTGCCACATGTCGCCGCGTTACTTACTACACTGTACTTGGGTGCTTTTCATGTCTTACTTCATCCTCAGCCCACCCTGCGATTCCAGCAGGTGGCCTCCAAGGCGACTAAGGCACAGAGACGGGAAGTGGGTTCGCTGTAAAATATGAAAATACAAGAAAGTTTAAAGAAATATAAAACATTGTTAATGCCACCTTCCAGAGATATCCCAATTGATGCTTTTTTTTCCCCCCTCTATGCAAAAAACTCTGTAATCATTACAATGGCAGATAGGCGGAAGATGGGGGAGAGGCCACCGTGAAAGCGTTCTTGATATTCCTTCTTCTCTTCCTTTCCGTTTTATTAGGACCACACCAAGAAGCGAGGCCGATGTCCCCCACGTGTCAAGGAAAGTCGCCACGACTTGGCGCCGCCACCCTCGCTCGTCTCCGGCTGGTCTACAGGAGGCGCTGCCGCAAGACCGGGCTGTGCGAAAACGCGTTTAAACTTGGCCGCCGCCGCGGCCTGTAGTCGGCGTCTCCAACATGGCGGCTGCCCAAGATGTCCACGTCCGGATCTGTAACCAAGAGATTGTCAAATTCGACTTGGAGGTGAAGGCGCTTATCCAGGTACTGAGTCCCGGGACCCAAGTTGGGCTCCGGCCGCCCTAAGCCCGAGCTCCGCCGTCTCACTGCCGAGCTTTCCCCACCTGGTCAGGTCCCCCGGCGGTGGGAGAACTCATGATGGGCCCGGGGAACTCAGGCAGCTCTGCGGCCGGCTGCCTTCTCTCTGTCCCCTTTGGTCCCTTCCCCGTGACCGCTGGCTTTGCGCTTCCATCCGAGTGGCCGTTTTGGCGCGCCCTCTTCCCAGGACGCCCCCGTGTCCCCCTCCCCTGACCAGGCTTCCCCCCGGTGGCCCTGCTCGGCGCCTCCCCTGCGCACCCCTGCCTGCCGCCTTGCCCGGGACCACCTCACAACCCACCTGTCACCCTGCCGAGCCCCGCCTTCTGATGCCGCCCTCCCCACCTTTCTGTGGCGTTCTGGGGGCATTAGCCCCGCCCCCTGCTGGCCAGCTCCGCTGGGTCCCGTGCCCCGTGGCACCCAAGACCACCTGGCACGGGAAGCACCGGGTGAGATGAAGGTAACCGGAACCGTAGTTGTGATTTTGTAAATGAGGAAATCGGGTCAAGTGCCAGCGCCTGGATCAGAAGGCAGCTAGTGGCAAAACTGGGACCAGGATGGGGAAAGTCAGCCTTCAGAAGGGACCTATTGTAGTTTCTACTCAGGTCATTGAAGGTGCTTTGGCTTACGCCGTTTAAGGGCAGAAAGCAGTAGTGCAATAAACCAAAGGCAAAGGCAAGAGTTAGGAATGTGGACATGGTTCCTTGAGTTCAGCAAAAGGAAACCAAGAGCTTTAAACCCTGGTTTTAGGCAAGTCGTTTCCATTTCCAACAAATGTTCCTAAACATTAGGTGTAGACTCAAAAGTTTGCAGCTAGCTGAGGCAAACAGTGAAGGAAAGCTGGGCTCCCCGCAGAAACCAGATGCAAAATAAACCGAATTAGTGGCTTAGCATGTGGTGCCAGGAATTGTGATTTCATGAATAAGCCAGAGAACAAATGAGGAAACGTGATACAAACATTTAAACTTCTTGAACGTCCCTTCTCCTATGCACAGGCTTAGAAACAGACCAATTCTAGACTCTGATGAGAAAGGTTGATGATAGCTAGATTCATTGCACTTGTCCTGTGTTCCAGCCCCTGTGCATGGTCTATGAGTTAGGTGATGTGGTGATGAGGAAACGGGCCCAGACAACTCAAGTGACCTTTTCAAGGTTACATCGTTAGTAAATTGCTACAGCCAAAATTTGAATTCACCTAGTCTCGCTGTAGGGCCTGCTCTAAAACCTGACTCCAGTAATTCTGAATGTTCAGAAACAAATTCTTAAGTCTACCCTAGAATATGTGTATAAACACTGTGATTTATAGTAGATGGTTTGTAAAATCAGACTGACGTTAATCTTGTCATATGATGCCAAGGATGTAGCACCCTGATTTTCAAGTTGGAAAGATCTAAAGTTATGGTATCACTTTTGGCTGTGCATTTTTGTTGAACACACAAGCTGCGTTAAGCCTTTCATTACCGGCCAGGTAGCGTTTTGTTTAACTTTAGGAACTAATAAGTGAAGACAGAGTTGTGTTTCTTTATATGCTTTCATATTACCTACTCAAAATTAATTTAAAGAGGGATGAGAAAAATGTAAATGATAATGTTTTTGCTTGTGTTGCAGAGGTCAACAGCAGAGATTACAGTCAATAGGCCCACTTTAGTTGTGGTCTAGTCTAATTATCTCAAAGTACAGATGGAGTCATTTCATTTCATTGCCTTGAGAAAGGCCCCCTCACCTCTTCGATGTCTCCTAGGATATTCGAGATTGTTCAGGACCATTAAGTGCACTTACTGAATTGAATACTAAAGTGAAAGAGAAGTTTCAACAGTTACGGCACAGAATCCAGGTGAGCAGCTGCAGAACTGAGATGCTGAGAGTGGGGGACAACAAAGGGTGCTTGGTCCTGGGACTGACCTCTGCTGGTGAGCTGTCCAGGTTCTTCAGGAAACGTTCACACAATGGAGTTCACTTTAGAACTTCAGCAATGTCACTGAATGTAGTCTCTTTTCTGCCTCCATCTCCAGCACTGATTTAATCATTTTAATTTTTTTGAAAGACATATTATTTCTTTCCTGTTTCTCAGCTAAAAGGTACTATGCTAAAACATTGCCTTTTATTTTTCTTTAAGGTTTTATTGGGGAATTGGGGAAGGGGAACAGACAAGTTGCTGTCCTTTTGTTCTTCAGTCTAGTTATAAAACACTGCCTTTTAAAACTTAACAATATGTATTGGAAATCTTTCCATATCAGTATCAGGGAGTTTATCATTCTTTTCTATACTTTTTTTTTTAGTTAGTCCTCTATCAAATGACATTTATTTGGACTGCTGCTGCTGCTGCTTCTGCTTCTTCTGCTTCTTCTTTCTTCTTTCTTCTTTCTTCTTCTTCTTCTTTTGCTTTTTAAAGCTAGTTTATTCCCTAAAACACCTTTCTTTCTTCAACTCACATGACTTCAACTTTCCAACCATCCCCACCAAGTATTTTCTTGTTCTTTCTGCTAAGTGTCTGCATGCTCACCCAATGTTTATTTTCTTCACTAATGAAAATCACCTCCCCAATCCATTTACATATTTGTTATGCCCCCCCACCCCCCATCATCAGCTCTTCCTGGCACCAAGCAAGGCCCTGTAGGCACATGGTCAGTGAATGAGTAACCCCATCCCAGCTTTAATTTGCATTTCCTAAACATTCATATCTGGAAATATATACAAGATTTCGATTTGCTTGATTTTTTTTAGATCTTATGTCCTCTTTGTATATTTGCAACAAGATTGTGCGATACCAGGAGAATTGGCCCCATAGTCTCAGACTGTGGTGTTCTGTACAGAGCAAGTGCTGGGCATTGACTGTGTGGAAATATCTGTGTGAATGTGTTTGTGTGTGTGGCTTTCAAACTGGAATTTGAGAACTACTTTACCCCTTTTCTTCCAGAATTATCTCTGGGTATCTGTGAGAGAACTTCCAGGCAACCTTTCATGAGGAAACTACATTTTTCCCTCCGTCCTTCCCGCCCTTCTCCCCATACACCATTCTTTCCTTGGGTGATTTGGTGCCTCATGCACATCAGGCACAAGGCGTATATTTAGTGAACCCGAAATACAGCACTGCTTTCACAGAGTTTATATTCTAGTAAGAAATTTAGATTTTAAATTATTATGCAGATTATTATGGAAATTAACTAATTACATTTGCAGAACTTTTCCAGTTCACATTCTTTTTCTTCTACCTCAGCAATATCTGGGGCCATAAATTGGAAGTCACCTCCGAGCTACGGAAATGGCCGTTACGTCTGCGGCCCCTCACTGTGGTGGGCTGCTGGTTGAGGTGCTGGGGCATTCTGGACTGTGCGCAGCTCTCCGGCAGGCCGTATCTGTGTGCACAGCAGCCTGGGGGGAAGCCGTCGCCAGAGGTTTTGGCGTTTGTTTTTGCCAGATCTCCTGGGAGGATCACAAGCCTGGGAGCACTTTTCATGTTGATTTCTCTGCATGGAGGTTCTCAAACCACTCAGGGAGGATGAATTTGAACCTCAGATCAGCAAGCGGGTAGCTCCCTGGTTATACAGTCTCAGGGGAGGTGTTTCGAATCCCTCTAGCTAGAGCCCGCAGCAAAAAAGGACACTCTTCCATGTTTTCTCGGTGCTGGTTGACAGCCGTTTTCCTAGTTCACCTTTTCACTGAGGGTGTAGCCCTTTGTAGGGCCTGCTTTGTGGTGTCCTCAGTTCTGATTCCCGGCCTCAGGTGGCCTTGGCTTCGTTTTCTGTCCCTACATGGGCTTTAAAACCCGCAGTGTTTACTACCAGTCTGTAGTGAAATAGGTGCCGAGACTGAGAGTGAGCATTTAGAAGCACCTAGTAGTTTGCTGTTCCCATGACACCTGCGAGCGGATGTGTGGATCGTGTTCAGTAATTTCTGTTCCTTTTCATTTCAGGCGTGTGCTGCATTACAGGAGCGTAACCCCCACTCCAGGGCAGCCACACGTCGCTCACGGGCTGACCATGCTGGCTCTTTGTTCCCTCCTCACTTTGGGGTCTTGGGGTTTCCCCTACTTTCTTGCAAACCAGCTGTGTATTTAAGAGGATGTTTGTTATATGTTACCTACCGTTCCTAGGTGTTCTGTTCGAGGAGGGTTTTCAAGGGGTGTCATGATGTCACTAGAAATAAACATGCTCCCTGGCTTTGATATTAGCTTTTAAAATCATTTTAATATAGAGCTGTTTTCTCCTAAAGGAGCTTGAGCAGTTGGCTAAAGAGCAAGACAGAGAGTCGGAGAAGCAGGCTCTGCTCCAGGAAGTGGAGAGTCACAAAAAGCAGATGCTCAGGTAGGCGGGGCCTGGCCTCCTGCCCGAGGCCTCTGCTGCGCGGCCTGCTGTGCCACCTGCTCCCAGAGGCTTGGGCCTGGGTTTGCCTAATCAACCTGGGTTTAATAACTTAATTGTTATTTATACACAGACCGAAGGTTCTCTCTGGATCAGTAAGCCTCAAAGGGAGGGGCAAGCAGGCGCTACTGCGTAGGTGGGAGTGGGCATAGTTTACAAAAGCATATTTAACATTACACTGTATTTTGTATTTTTAAAACAAAACCAAAAAAAAAATGGTTGCTTTTGTAATACAGGTCCTTTTTATCTAAGGAGAATTGATGCCAGAAAAAGTCCACCAAATGTGAACCTGTTTAAGATGGATCAAAATTTAGAAAATTCTGAAGGGGACTTTATCTTAAAAAATGAAAGAAACAATGCAAATAGGCTTATGTTATATTAAAAAAAAATCAAGGTTATCATTGCGGCTGCATGCTAACACTTGATTATGTAATTGATCTATTGTGCTATTTCTTGGTGTTGAATTGGGGGACTTTTCCAACAAAATTGTCTGATGGCATGAGACAGCACCTGTCCCTTCACATTTGACTGTTTGTACCATAAGGATAAGAGGGTTTTCATTTCAGCAGTACTTGAGGGCTCCATCCCCTTATCCAATCCTCTGACAGCCAGGTCACTTCTTTTTTAAAGCCCCTGCTTAGCCATCCTTCTACTAGGCGTTCTCTTTGCCCTTGTTAATTGGTTGAACTCTGCCACATCCGTATTTGCCTGTGGCTGTGCTTCTGATTTGAGTAATGCTCCAGCACCTTCCTGGCTGACAGCAGCTGTGTTTATAACACCCAGCAGTCAGGAGGCGGTGGACTGACAAAGACGTGGGCATGGTGGAGGCTAGCAAAGGTAGGGAGGGGTGTGAGTGGCGGCCAGTGTTAAAGTGCTTGGCTCAGTAGCAGTCCTTTGTGTCACGATGACTTTTGCTTCCACGGCCACCAAGGGCATTGGCTTATACACACTGAGTCAAGAGGACCCCTCATATAAAGTGTAGTAAGTAATGGTGGACAGAACCAACTCAGCATGACTTTAAAGCTGAGAATGGCCGTTCATGATGTGGAGTTAGGGTGCAGGGGAGAAAGCAGTAATTTCATGCTTTGGCGGTTGTGTGTGTAAACAGTGGTTGTGCTTGCCAGAGTGCTCGTGCTTGTCTTACCGAACAGTAAATATTTGCCTTGAGGGCAGGCACTATCGTTCGTTCACCTCTGCATCGCAGGGCCCAGCAGGACTCCCTCGCTAACAGTTTGAAAATGTGACTGATTCTCTTTAAATATTAGGTGCGAAATGGCATAGCAGCTGCTGACCAAGCGTCAGAGAGCTCATCTGCAGACCTTCCACGTAGGGCTGCTGTTAGAACATGACCCTATCCGTTCATGTACTCCCCGCTTGACGTTTTAAATGTTTCAGGGGCTAGCGCAGTTGGTTAGAGCCAACTGCATAAGAGTTCTAGAGCATGAGTGTGCTTCTCTGAGGGACCCAGTTAACTTTCTAGTCCATCGACAGAGGCTGCACTGCTAACGCCAGGGGGCTGCCCAGCATGTTGGACTTGTCTCGCAGGCAGAGCGGGTAAAGAATGTAACTAAACCACATCACACCAGGCCCTGCTGATGCGGTGTGTTCACGGGGTCCACGGTTTGTCCGTGGCATGTAAAGAACAGCAGACCTTGGAGAAATACTGAGGAAAACTGTCATTGTATGATTTTTCTACTTGTTACAACGTATACTGTCTGAACAGCTAATGGGCCAGAGACTTGCCCTTGTGATACAAAGGTGGGAGGCATGGTTCTGGAAACAGGACCAACCCGTGCACAGTGCAGAACTGTAAAGTGTGAGAGGTGACTGGACAGAACCGGACCTCGTGCTTAGCGGGGGGGTTGGAGGTTCCCCTGAAATCTGGAGCCTTTCCAGGCTGTAAACAGCCGTGCCATGGCCGCACTGCTCCCTCTGGCTGCCCGGGGGGAAGGGGACTGTTGCGGGCAGTAAGAGACAATCCCAGAGGTGGCCAGGGTCCAGATGAGAGGTGCTGGGGCCTGAGCTGGGCAGTTGCTGGGGCAACCAAGGGGAGGAAGCGGCGGGAGATGGGGATGGACTCTGGGCCACACCTGGGTGCCCTTGCCATCACTCCCTGCCCGAAGGAAGGACTGCTGTGACTTGGCTGACAACAGAAACTCACGCCTGACCCTTCTGATTCCAGCAATCAGACCTCATGGAGGAAAGCAAACCTCACTTGCAAGATGGCTATCGACAATGTAGAGAAAGCAGAACTTCTCCAGGGAGGAGACCGCTTACGGCAAAGGTATCTCTCTCTATTCTAGAAGGGAGCGCCAGCGTACGTGCCCACTGGCAATCTTCGGGAGTGTGGTCTCAGCGCGCCCATGCACATTTACGAAATGTCTACTCATTTGATAGATAAAGATGGGGTCTCATCTGCCTGTGGGGCTTTCTTGTAGCCAGGCTTTTGTTGACATTCCTCCTCCCACTCTGGACTTCCAGGAAAACCGCCAAAGAGAGCCTGGCCCAGACATCCAGCACCATCACAGAGAGCCTCATGGGGATTAGCAGGATGATGTCCCAGCAGGTCCAGCAGAGCGAGGAAGCCGTGCAGTCACTAGGTAAAGCCAGGCCTGGACTCGGAAGCCTGGCCGCACCTGTCCCAGACCCCTTTCCCTCGGCTTCGCCCTGAAGCTGGCTGGCTTGTGTGGCTTCTCACTTCTCTGACAGTGTGGCTTTACCCCGAATGGGACGTGCTGCTCTTATCGCTCTGTTGGTTTCTCTAGTTGTACACCCCCACTAAAATATTCCCGCAGAAGCTGTCTCAGGGCCTCTGCTGCAGAGTGGGTGCCAGCAGGGCTGGGGGGCGGGGAGGGGCCTGGGAGTCTGCTTTTCGTCCAGGACTCTTGGTAAACCCCTGAGGCCGGCCCGCTTTGGGAATCCTTGGCCAGAGACGGGCTCAGTGTGTTGGCCGCCGGCTCGTCTGCTAGAACCTCAGCTTACAGTTCCACCCCCCAGTGGCAGTTCTGCCATGAGCTCCTTTTAAGAGCGAGTCAGAGGCCACAGAAGAAGCTGCCGGAGGCCATCTGGTTCTCAGTCGGGTTCCCATGGCGTCTCCCCTGTAATGCAGAAGACACTCAGCCCTCCCCGGGGCCTCCGCATAGGAAAACAGAAGAACGCTTACTCCTTGAGACACTTTTGGAAGGTTTCACACAGACAAAAGTAGAGAGCAGGTGCATGAACCCCACGAACCCACCACTCAGCTCCAGCAGCTGTCAGCTCACCGCCAGTCTTGTTTCAACCCTGTCCTCACTGTCCCCATCTGGATGATTTTGAAGCAAATCCTAGACATCATCATAAATATCTCATTCTGTCTCTACAAGACTCGTGAAACAAAAAGAAAAAACCAAAACCACAATACCATTATCACCCTAAAAAATTATCTGTAATTTCAAACCACTTTTTTTTTTTAATCAAAACACTATTCAAACAGGCCAAAGCAAGAGGACAGCAAGCAGCTTGTCCCCAAGGCCAGTCCCTGTGTTGGAAACTTATCTGGGCATTTAGGCTCAGAACTAGCCAGCCACCTCGTCTGAGAGTGTGCTGGGGACACGGCCTGAACCTTGGGAAAGGCCTCGGAGACCGTGACAAAGAGGGGGCCTGTGAGTCCAGGGCTTTCCTGCTCTGATGCAGGTGACAGGCACCCCGCCCCACACGTAGATCAGAAGCAGATGATGTATTTAAGGGGTGTGATGTGAGCACAGGTGCTGATGGTTTCTGGGCCGTTGAGGACTGTGCTTGGGGCACATTTTGTAGGAGACATAGCTGTTGAAGAAAGAAGAATGCAGTTCTTAATCCTTTCCTGTGGCTGACAAACTCAGCTCGATTTGAAAGCCTATTAGGGCCCCAGTTTTTTAAAAAAAACAACCTATTAGGGATCCGATGTCTGGAATTTGCTGCAAAATCATAGGAGTGGGGGGAGCTGGGTCGGGGTTAACTTGGGGACAAGATGGCCAAGGAGTTGGTGGCTGTGTTGGGGATGATGGACAGATAGCATTTCACGATACTATTCTGTCTACTTTTGTGTTGGTTTAAAATGCTCTATGAAGAAAGTTTAAAAAGAAAGATCTGTTAGTTTTTACATAACAGGTTCTTACTTCGGTTTTTGAAATGCAGAGGCATGGAGAAAGGGGGCTGAGGGGGGCGTTTTGTTATCAGTGTTCGCGTGTTTTTCCCCCTCATCTGCCTTTTTCAAAATGCTTCACTGTTTCTTCCAGTAATTTCTTTTATTTACTTATTAACTTTAAATTTTGTGAGTAAGTTACATGGTTAAGCAAAAAGCCTCTGGGCCAGCCCTGCCCAATGGAAACATAATGTGTGCCACATATGTGACTTCCGGTTTTCTAGGAGGCACATCAAAAAACTGAAAAGAGGGCCGGCCGAGTGGCTCAGGTGGTTAAGAGCTCGCTCAAGAGTGTGAGCTCTGAGCAACAGGGTCGCCGGTTCAATTCCCAGCCTGAACTGAGCTGCCAACAGGTGGCAGGATGGCTGAGCTAAAAATAAATAAATAAATAAAGTGTGCTGTAAATCATCCTATATCATGACAGCGCTCCCTGTCACACATCGCTTCTGATATACAGCAATTTCTGTTCAATAAAAACATTACAGTATGCTCTCATTAACCAAAAAAAAAGTAAAAGGAAACGTGAAATTAATTTTAATAATATATCTTATGTAATCCATTCTATGTACAATACTACCACTTCAGTATGTAATTAATAGTCAACATTGAGATATTTTACATTCCTCTTTTCCTCATACTAAGTCTTTGAAATCTTGTGGCTGTTTTGTACTCAGGCACAGTTTCGATGGGCCCATTTTACATGCTCAGGCACCACGCGTGTCTGCTGGCTGCCATATTGTCTGCACAGCCCTGGATGGTACGAGAGGGAAACAGAAAGACAGCCCTCCCTTCTAACCACCCCTCTGACCTCCAGGCCTGCTCCCCAGAGACCACCATTGTTACCAGATTCCTTTATATCCTTCTGAGATCCTCCAAGCATTCAAGCACAAGCAAATTAAATTTTATTTATCTCCGGCTTTCTTACATAAACAGAAACATTTCCCACCTTGCCTTTCCACTTAACCCGTTTATTCTGTGGATGTTCTGACGGTGCCTTGTTTTACTTTGTGGGAGAATCGTGCCAGGTAAACCTTCTTCCCCAGGTGTCAGGCTCAGATGCCCATACTCGGAAGTAAAGTCGATGCTGGGCACATTGAGCCTTAAGGGATATGTGCTTCCTCTTAGGTTTCCAGTGTCCAGAGCACGGGTGTCACGTCCTTAAAGCTGCAGCCAGTGTCCCAGGACTGGAGGACTGGTGTGTGTGAGGGCTGGTGGCAGGGCCCAGCCCAGCCTTTCTTGACCCCATGGAGGGCAGATCTGACCGTCAGGTGTCCAGACACAGTGCCCCTCACAGGTGGGAAGCCCAAGTTCTGCCCCCATACAGACCTCCCAGGGTCCGTCACCAGGTTAGCCTTGTGGCTGGTGGTTCTCAGCAGCGCCTCCTGCTGCAGAAAGCTGAGGCTGGCGGTGAGGCAGAACCCTCTTCTGCCCTTTTCCCTGGTGACAGCCACACCCGAGGACTCCTAGTTATGGCCCTGTGACGTCTATAAACGAACCACGTCACTCTCTGAGCTGGATGGGACCTGGAGAAAGTGCTTTTCCTTGTTGTGTCCTTGTTCTTCGTCCCTCTGCGTGTGCCCGCATTCTCTCCTGGCTCAGGGAACTTGCTTCTGAGCGCAGCGTTTGCTGGGCGCCCCGCCAGCCCGGCTGTCTTTGGATTCTCTTCTCTGCTCTGCAGTCTCTGAGTCAGGCTCCCTCCCTCTTACGTTTCAGCCACTTCTTCCCGGACTATCCTGGATGCCAATGAAGAATTTAAGTCCATGTCGGGGACCATCCAGCTGGGACGGAAGCTCATCACAAAATACAATCGCCGAGAGCTGACGGACAAGCTCCTCATTTTCCTCGCCCTGGCGCTGTTTCTTGCTACAGTTCTCTATATCATAAAAAAGCGGCTCTTTCCGTTTTTGTAAGACCTGAGAGCGGCCAGCTTATGCCCTTTAAGCTCCCGTGTCAGGATCCAGCCACCCTCCTGAGCTCTGGCCCAGGTTGCCACCTGACCCGCGCCCCCTCCCCCGTTTGGCAGGCTGTTCAGTGGCCGGGTTTTGCAGGTGGCTTCCTTGTCAAGTGTGAGCAGAGCAAGGGGACGGAGGCCTGTCATCAGGACACCTACAGGGACACAAGGACTGCAGAGCCATCGCACACTGGGTGGCTGCCAGTGGGGCACTCGGGCCACCCTCAGGGATTTTTGATGCTCCTCTGGGTCCCTGTCCTGTGGCCTTCACACAGCTCTGCTGGACGGAGGACAGCGGGGAAGAAGGATGATGAAAACTCATGTCCATTCCTTGAATAAACTTGACTGTATTTAGTACAGTGAAATACATGTGTTTTTACAAGGCACCTCTCCAGGAATTGGCGTGTCTCTTTGCTCTCCGGATCTCTATCTAGGACATGAGCTTAGATCATTTACTTGTCCATCCAACAAAGAAGTAGGAAGCCACGGCCACATGCAGTGGATTGTAGACACTGCTGACTTACAAATACATAGATAAAGCAGCCGTGGTCCCTCCCGCAAGGAGCAAGAAGAAAAACATCCCACAGGCACTAAGGAAGGAGTGTGCCAACAGCCTCCACTGCAGGTAGTTCCCCCGCCACCTGAAAGGCTGAGGCAGACGGCCTTCTCTGCACAACAGCCTGGCCTGGCTTGGGGTGTGCAGTGTCTCGGGCTGGCCCACGCCTTTCTTTTGAGGTCCAGAGCTAAATATAACCATGGAGAGCGAGGCTAGTGATAAGCTGAGGCCTGTCTGGGCCTGAGTTCTGTTGAGGCCAAGAGGGTAGGGCCCAGGATAGGCCGGGCTAGAGATGTTAGTGTCTGTGTGCCATAGGCCTGGCTAACGTCGTCGCACATGAGTCCCAGCCTCCCCCACTATTTATAGCCGCAGAGGCCCTGGGAAGGGTAATGTGGACAGAGCATGGACTTCGAAGCTTTGTTCAAAACTTGGTTTTAAGTCTTCGCTCTACTACTAATGGACCACATGACCATGGGCTTGTTACCTGTGTCACTAAGCCTCAATTTCTCCACCTGTACAATGGGAACGATAGTCCAGGCAGATGCTTGTGGAGTGAACTTGACAATCAAATGAGACTGTAAAAGAGCAGCTTCTGTCTGAGCAGTGAGCTTCCCAAAGGCACCATCTCCAGGACTCTGGGTCCCGAGGTTTCCTGCAGCAAACAGCAGGGGCCTCAGGGAAAGCTGGTCTGGGCATCAGGAGTTGTTTAGATGTGTTTGAGCAGAAGGGCTCAGCCGTGAAGGCCTCAGTTCTGAAGCGCCAGATCGTCATGGGACCCAAGTTATCAGAGATTGGCCGCACACCCCAGACTAACTAGTTTAATGAGTAGGCTCTAAGTTAAAGCGTGTGTGTGTGTGTGTGTGTGTGTGCGTGCGTGTGCGTGCACTTCATATGTATCATCCTTAAACAATTTCTGGCCCCAGAAGACACTCGGTGCAAGTAGGGCACGCATGTGTCTTATTTATAGTCAAATTAAAGCTGAGAATAAAGCACAGATGGGAAATTCCCGCTCCGATTCCAGCTGTAAGGGCAGCAGATGGATGTTATCAAGTTAGGATTTTCTTGTCTTAACATTTTTCTTCACTGTTTCCCGCTAATTGTCAACATCCTCCTCACAATATGGAAATGTGTGGGCTCTGTACTCCCTAAAAATTCTCCCTTTGACACTCTGTTTCTCTTTATTGCCTTCTTCTGAAAATAGTGTTGAATTTGACCCATTTTGGGATGTCATCGATATCATTTATCTTACAACCCCGGTCAGCCACAGGTTAAAAGTCATCCCAGCCGGCTGGCTGTGCAGGAAGCGGCCATCTCCACGTTCAACCAGGAGGGGGCAGTGTTCGCATTCACTCTATGGTCTTACTGTATGTAGTCCATCCGTCTATGAAATGCTTTTATGGATTTTTTTCTTTAACAGATACCAGGTTTTTTTGGTTGTTTGCTTTTTAATGTACAAAGCTTATATATCTTGTTTTTGGAAGACATTTCATAAATGACTTTAATTTTCACCGTTAACAGTAAGGCAAGCTTGTATTCTACATTTGAATTAGTTGACAGTCAAGGAGTTAAAAGTATAGAGCAGCCTTCAAGAGATCTTTCATTCAGGTATTTACCCAGCACCTACTTTGTCCCAGGCACGTGTTAGGGGTACACAAAGAACAAAAGAGACTCCCTGTCAGCGTGGAACTTATAGCATGGGGGAAGGCGGGCAGATGATGAACAATTAACATATAAAAATTCATTCATTGTGTTAGAAAATAAGTGTTTGGGGGGAAAGTGGAGAAAACTAATGCAGATCTGGTATGTAGGCATGGTCGTTAGGTAGGGTGGTCAGAGCTGGCCTCATGGACTTGAGGCGACACACGCGCGCGCTCTTAGTAAGTGGACAGCCAAGGGAAGAGTGTTCCACAGGGACCAGCTAGAGCGAAGGCCTGCGGTGGGCATGTCTATAATACTGTGATTTGTAATAAGAAATATATATTCAGCCTTAGTCCTGTTCCTGGCACAGAGCTCCTAAAAGCCTTGGAATTTTCCGTGAGAAGAGTGATAAATATGTCTTATGTTAATGAGGTGACTTTTGGATCCCACCCCAGGATGGTGGCTGGGTGCCAGAGAAGCCAACCATGTGATTAGAGGGTTGGAACCTTCATTCCCACCTCCAGCCTCTGGGGAAGGGAGAGGGACCGGAAGTGGAGTTCAAGCACCAGCGATTTAATCAGTCATGCCTTTGTAAGGAAGCCTCCATAGAAACTCAAAAGGAGGGGTTCAGAGAACTGGGTCGGTGAACGTGTGGAGATTCAGGGAGCGTGTCGGGAGACTGAGCTCAGAGGCCATGGAAGCTCCACACCCCTTCCCTACCTCGCCCCATGCGTCTCTTCCACATCTGGCTGTTTCTGAGTTATATCCTTGTATAATAAACGAGTGATCTAGGAAGTAATATCTCTGTGTTCTGTGAGCCGTTCTAGCAAATTAATTGAACCCAAGGAAGGGGTCATGGGAGCTTCCAATCTATTGCCTGTTGGTCACAAGCACAGGTGACAACCTGGACTTACCATTGGCATCTGAAGTGGAGGGAGAGTGCAGTCTTGAGCCCTTAACCTGTGGGACCTGAGGCTGTCTCCAGGTGGACAGTGTCAGAATTGGGTTGAATTGTAGGACACTCAGCTGGTGTCAGAGACTTGCTTGATGGTGTTGGAAAAACCCACACATGACATCCGGATACAGAATTGGAGCATGGCTGGCATATTTGGGGACTAGCAAGGAAGCCAGCGTGGCTAGAGCAGAGTAGTGAGGCGTGCAGGAGGAGTAACACGAGGTCAGAGAGACGCTGGGATCAAAGTCATGAAAAGCCATGTAGGTCATTGGAAGGATTGGCCTTGTACTCCGAGTGACATGGGGAGCTGCTGGGAGGCTTTAAGCAGAGGAGTGACTTGATATGACTATGGGTTGATAACAAAGTAAAGGGGACAAGGACAGAGCAGAGAGACCAGTTAGGAGGACATTATAGCCATCCAGGTGGCAGACGATGGTGGCTTGTACCTGGCTGACAGCAGAAGACGTGGAGAGAGGGAGTCATATTCTGGATCTATTTTGAAGATAGAACCAACTGGATTGAGTTTCCTGTAGGAATGGACATCATTCTTGAAGGAATGAGAGCAAAACACCCAAGATTTTTGGCCTAAGTTACCAAAGGAGGAAGATGATGAGTTAGGTTTTGGACATGTTGAGTTTGAGATGCCTCTTAGACATGTGCATCGAGATGCCACGTAGGCAGGAGGCTATGTAAGTCTGGAGTTTGGGACCCATCATGGCTTGGGATGTAAATGTGGAAGTTTCTGGCATATAGATGGAATTTAAAGCCACAAGGTTGGATGAGATCACCCAGAGATTTGAGTATATATAAACAGTAAATAAGGACAAACAGAGAAGAGGAACCAGCAAACAAGACTGAGAAGGAATGACCAGAGCCAGAGGAGGTGCTCTAACTAGTTAGACTTCTTGGGGAGTCTAACTGTTCCTTTAATCCCCCGAAACAGGAGATTTTCTTATCTTTAAGAATCTATAGTTCTCATCATCATCACTGTCATCGGAAGCATCTAATATTTGTCGAGTTGCCATGTGTGTGACACACCTGAGGACTACACATACATATGAGGCCCCTGTCCTTAAGGACAGTCCAGGATGACAGCGGTGCCTGGGCCCTGGCTGCCATAGGGGACCCGCAGGGACAGGGGATCCTCTGAGATAGGACACGGAAGAGCTTGCTTCCCCTTGAGCCACCGCCATATCTTCTCTTCACTGCCCAGCTTCTGTGCAGACCTCTGCTTCCTCGCCTCCCACTCCCTGTCCACTTCAGTCTGGCTTCTGCTACCATCACTCTCCCCAAAACAAGCCTTGCTGACGTCCGTTTCCTCCGGGCGGCTCAGCTGGAGGATGTTGGCCCCCAACTTTCCTCATGTCTCCATTGTTGACCCTGTTGGTCACTGGCTCTTCCCAGGGACCTCCCGCTTGGTGACACCACACTCTTCGTTTTACTCTGGCTCCCCTGGTGACACCTGCTCGCTCTTCTTCGTCTTCTTTTCAGCCTTAAGTGCTGGCTTAGGTCTTCACTCTTCTCCCTCTGTGTGTTCTCTCAAAGGCAGGGGCATCCGTGACCATCAGCGGTGGTGCCACAGCTCCGTCTCCACTGCAGACGCCGCAGGTGAGCTCAGGACCCCTCCCTCATCTCCATCCAGACATCGGTGCTCATCCACCTCTGCCTGTCCCCGACCTCCCTCTCCGTGCTCTGCGTACCGCCTGGCCCTTTTCCAGGCTTCCGCCTCTTCCCTGACACGCCTCCCGCTGCCCCTTCTGGGTCCCCTTTCCCTTCACCAAGCCTGTCTCCCTGAAGCCTCTTCTCACCATCCCAGGAGGTGAGACTTCATTCAACAGATACAGGTCAACGTTGTGCTGGAAAGAAGGCACCCATACAAGGTGTTGGTGAATTGAGGGACCCGAAAAGGCCCTGCTGGAGGCAGTTCGACAGAGTGGCTCAATTCGGAGATGCTTCTAAGGAAAAAAAAAGACAGTCAAGTGTAAACGAAGCTATGTTTTCTTCCGTAGCTAATGATGGCCTCCCCTGAGGCCCTGCCTGAGGGTTTGCCCAAGCTGTGTTTCTTCCCTAAGCAAGGACAGAATAAAAATAGCCGGGGGCTAATCTAAGAGATAACAGATAGGAGCCTCAGCCACATTGTCGGGAATGAAGGGCTGCAGGCTGGGGTGAGGGGGGGGGGTGTTATCAGCACCCCTCCCTCAGCCCCCAGCAGCAAGGCCCAGGGCCCAAGGTATTGGTCAGCTTTCATCACAGTGGTCAAAGTGTGGCCTTTGGTGGCAGAGAGGCCTGGGCTCTAATTGTACTCTTCCCGGGCGTGTGGCCTCAGCAGGGATGGCCCCTGTTGCTTTCTCATCAGGACGCAGGGACAGCCGATGACGTTGACCTCTCAGGGGTGCTAGGAGGATTAAAGGACAAAACTCGAACACCTCTCCCACCATAACCCCTATGACCACTGCATTCATTCCAAACCAAAGCACAGTGGTGCCTCATGACCCTTTCTCTGTGGGGCTTTACTTGGAAATGGAGCTTAGGCCAAGAGGAAGATGCCTGGGTTGGGAAGGTAGCAGGACCCGAGGCCAGCGTAGTGTTTCTCAGGTGGCAAAGGGCTGCGAGCAGAGCAGCAGGCCGGGCGAGTTGGCCGACGTTCCTAATCCATTAGAAACCGCCCACGAAGAAGCTCAGTGGAAAATGTCCTCTTTTTATTATTCTGAAACCGTCACTCCTCCTCCCCCTGCAATCTTGTTTGCTGGCAAAGCGTGCTCCCGGATAACATGAATCCATAAAGTAGCAAATGAATATGGACTGAAACATGAGGAAACAGCCAATCCATTTTAATCTGACAGTTTGACAAGTATGAAAACCAAGAGTGTCCCTGACAGAAACATCACAGTTTCTAAGAAAGGAGTTCATAGTTTGCGGGAGCTGGCCCTTCCGTGGTGTTCTCTGCTGCCACCTGAACAGGCCGAGGACCAGTGGATTAGAGGACCAAGGGCTGTGCGTTGTTAGACTGCAGGCTCCTGGCTGCGTTCCTGAAAGACCTCAACCCCGCCGCCGCCACCACCCAATCCCTTCCAGAATCTTATCGCGCGTGTGCTCTGGCTACAGTCTGTGCTGGGCGCTGGACAGAAGAGGAAGTCCACCTGCCTTGGGGAGCCCACTGCCTGTCAGGGACAGACCTGGAGCCAAACAGGTATGCTAGAGGGTGGTAAGTGTCCTGGAGGGGATCCCAGGGGCCCTGGGGAGCCCAAGTGACAGCTCCTTTAGACGGCTTAACAGTAAATGGTAGGCAAAATAAAAATTAACAGTAAGCAATTACAATGAGACCCAAAGCATTATGGGTGAGGTGTGTAAGTCCAGTAGGAGATGACAATGTTAATAAACTTAGTGCTCATTATGCAACGCCCTATGCGTTATGTCACTCAATTCTGCCAACACGTAATGTTATTACAGTTGACGCAACTGAGACCCAGAAAGGTCCAGAAACAAGCCCAAGTTCCCACTCCCACCCCAGCCCTAAACAACCACTAATCTATTTGCTGTCTCTATAGCTTTCTTTAGTCTAGGCTTTCCTATGATGGAAGTCATATAGCATGTCGTCTCTTGTGACTGACTTTTTCGCTTGGTGTAATATTTTCAAGGTTCGTCGATGTAGCAGGTATCAGAATGGCATTCCTTTTTATGGCTGAATAATATTCCAGTGTGTGCATAGACCACATTTTGTTTATCTGTTTGTCTGTTGATGGACATTTTAGGTTGTTTCCACCTTTTGGCTCTAGTGAATGTGCTATAAACATTTATGTAAAATTTTTTGTGAAGACGTATGTTTTCATTTCTCTTGGGTATATATACCTACAAGTGGAGTTGCTGGGTCACATGATAACTCAAGATTTGATGCTGTGAGGGGCTGCCAGACTGTTTTCCACAGTGGTTGCATCTATTTATGTTCCCAAGCTCTGCCATTTCTGAGCTGTGTGATGTTGAGCAAGTTCCTAAACTTCTCCGAGCCTCAGCTCCTCTCAACTATAAAAAGAGACTAAAAAGTCAGGGTGTGGGGGAGGATTAAATGAAAAAATGGATATGAGGACACTTTTCAAATTAGAAGCGGTTTAGTAAATCTAAGCGTAAGTTTTTTGTTTTATTTTAAATTTTTGCTCAATTATAAGTATATGTGTGTTTGGTTCCATGGTTAGGGGACTTGCTTTCATCCCAGAAAGCTGATGAGCAGGACACCCTGAGGTGTCATTATCTTTGTCCTGTTCTGGATAAAGACATAGCCAGTAAGAAAGCCAGCACCGTCTGCAACTTTGGGTTCCCCCGCCCGGCCCTCTGCTCAGAGGGGCCCCTGAGTTTACAAATGCTGGCCGTGACTGCCACTCAGTAACAAAGCTGGCTGAAGGCCGGGGTCTCATGGCATAACTGAGGCAGTGGGTCCATCCTGGCTCTCGGCTCCTGACAGCATTTCCAGATGATAAGTGGCATCTCCAGTGTAGAAAACTCTCCCAGAGGCCCCTGCAAGTGGCCTGTACCCTCAGCCATGTCCCTCATGCTGCGTTCCCTCAGTGCAGCCATGCCAGCTGGTGTTTTATTGAGCACTTCCCTGGACAAAGCCACCAGGGACTGAGCTCATCTGTTGGGAGGGAGGCTCACCCAGCTTAGGAACCCAGACCGCCCTCGGAATGGGCATTGCTGCTCTGTGGGTCACTTCTGGAAGCCGCTTATAGGAGAGCCTGTCCAGGTCCCTGGAAACCCCTGAAATGTTACCCTGATGGGCAGTATGTTGCTGGGAGTTTGGGGGGCATGGCCCAGAGATGAGTCTCTGTCTGTGTGAGGCAAGACGGTCTGTGGACCCAGAAGCCCTAAAGGTGCCAGAGCAGCTGTTGGGAGTCAGGAAACACACACAGCCAATGAAGGATGGAAACACTCCACCTCAGCTCACAGCCCACAACACGAAACTAGAATGGGGGACCGTGTCTTGCCTGCCAGGGCAGCAGCAATGAGAAAGCCCGCTGATTATTCATGTTTGCAAAGGTGCGGGCTGAATGGCACAAGCAGCCCTCATTATCCCAGCCCTGAAGCATGCTGGGTGGTGAATATCAGAGAGCAACAGGCCCTCCGATCTTTTCTTTAAATGGGAAAGACCCCACTGCATTTCCAGTCCATCCAGAATTCCCTCCTTATCTCCCCAACTATCACTGCCAACATGCAGTCTTAGAGACCTGGACACACAACTCGCCAAACATTTCTGCATAATATCAAGCATTTAAACATGAAACACACGAAAAGTGAGTCTGTGTTCAACACGAAATAATGCCATACAGTAGCAAAAACAAATGATATTTTCCTCATTGATTTGTTTGGTTATTAATTTATTATTTGTCACTCCTACCTCTCTTCTAAGTCTCTTAGGTGACACACTTTTCTTCAGCTGGTCTACTTGTGTTTTTACACACCAGCTTTTCTACTTTTCACGAAGACATTTTTACTGCGTTCAGTGGGGTGCTCAATATAATAATAATACCCAGCACATTTGAACGCCGTTACCTGGACACACTGCCCCGGCCTGTCCTACAGGGTCACCAGAGCCAGTTTTCAATTCAGCCAAAGAACTTGGGGTAAAGTTTTTGCAAGCCACCACAGCGGACCTGCAGAGGGTGCCAGCTGCCACCCCCATTCCCCTGTAGGCGAGGATAGCTGATGTAGCTTCTGAGAAGGGCGATTAGGCAAAAAGTATTGAGATACAGAACGTGCATTCTTTTCACCAAGGAATTCCAGTCCTTCGTGTTAGTCCAGCACATCTCTCCCTGCAGGTGTCCATTACGGGTCACACTGGGGAGCCCTTTAATACCTTCGGAGACGTCCACACCATGGGGTACGAGGCAGAGTGAGAAGCCATGAGGGGACATATGGAGTGGTGGAGAGCCCTCCAGGACACGCTGCTAAGTGAACAAAGGACACTGCAGAACCAAACTTAGATGGCATTTCTGTAAAATCGTCCACATTTAAAACAAAGCTACATGCTTTTATCTGGATATGTGTGTGCGCGCATGTGTGTGCATGTGTGGGAACGGACTGGAAGGGCGGGATTGGTGGAGCTATTTCTAAGGAGGCAGCTGAAAGGTGGGACAAGGGGACTTTCTTTATGACTCTATATGCCCTTGTGTTATTCAACAGTTTACAATGGTAACATGTTCATGTGCTATTAGATTAAATGAACTAATTAATAAGTAAAAAATGTAAAACAAACCAAACCGGACAGGTGGAAAGTACCTACCTTGCAGGCTGTTGGGCGGGTTGAGAGGCTGTGTCATGCTCCCCGCACCTTTTCCAGCAGCAGGAGGCCCTCAGCCAGCGCTGGTCACTTCCACCAAGTCCACGTGGGCAGGCCACGGTGCTTGGGGAGTGCAGAGCTGAGAATGAGGCAGTGAGCGGTCAGGGAGGCCGGAAAGGACAGACCCAGGACGTAGTCACATATATGGGACCCATCAATGCCACCTGGGTAGATGAGGTCTCTTTCAGAGAGTGTGGGGAGGGGAACGGGCTCTGTGTTTGGCTCCGGGCCGCTGTGATGCTTGGGGCAGTGGGGGAAAAGGAACCATGGGAAAGAGCCACGGAGAGAAACGCTGGAGAGGAAGCTGGGAGGGGGGCGGCCCAGGAGGCAGGTGCAGAGAAGGAAGGAGGCGCCCACGGTGTCAGGGGCCAGGCAGGCCCCGGGGGCGAGGCCTGAGGAGAGAGCTGGGCCCTGCTCCCCCGCCCAGCGTGGTTTCAGTGGGAGGGAGGGCAGAAGGCAGCTGGCAGAGGCAGGCAGTGAATGTGGACCATTCCGTCAAGAAGTGCGGACGAGATAGGCAAGAGAGAGGCTGCTGAGGAAGGAGACTTACATCTTGCAGAGCAATACAAGGGGATTTACTGGGGAAGGCAGCACGGCGCTTCCTCAGAAAATTAAACAGAATTGCATACGATCCAGCAGCCCCACTTCCGGACATTTCCCCAAAGGAACTGAAAGCAGGGGCTCGAACAGAAATTTGTACTCGCGTGTTCACAGCACTGACTCAGCCCAGGTCAGAAAACAGATCACAAGCATCTTCCTTCTGGAAAATGGATTTACATCGGAAGGTGAGCCTTCAGGGTAATGTTTACATCCATCTTTCAGCCACGCTGCTCATGTTACTTCGCGTCACCTTGACTTCAAACACTTGTACCCAGCGAGCAGAGGCGTTGGCATCAGCCACTGTCAGGAACAAATGTGGTCGCGTAATCCCAGGGCCTGCGAGGAATGCGGCAGCAACAGACCAAGTTATTAACCATTTTCTAAACCTGAAACCTGGAAAGCAAATAGCAGAGGGACCCCTGAGCAGATAGCATTAGCGATCCAGGATTTTATAATATCAAACCTCCAACCAAAATACATCCAGTTCCTTCTGACTTGAAAGACCCCCACTCAAGAGGTTAATGTGTTACCTTATGCATTTTCACACACTCAAAAGTGCTTTCTTTCTCTTGTTTTTTAGCAGTGATGTAACTGGTAGAAACAGGTGGGCAGAGTTCAAGGGGCCTCCATTCTGTAGGCGTAGGGCAGTGGGCCTAGCTAAGCACAGATGAGCTTATTTGCTTGTGTTAGGGACAGTGTGGGAGAAGGACCCTGCTCCTGTCCCTTGAGCAGGGCAGCAGTGTCCCTCTTCCCTTGGCCTCAGGGGTGAGGGGCAAATGTCCTGTGATGGGCATCTGCTCTGTCTGCACATCCATTCTCCATCTAGGAATAGCCCCCCAGTTTTCCTTTGTGAAACCACCCTTCCCCACTCTCAGTCCCATGGTTAAGGCGGAGATGAACCAACCCCCGATGAGAGAGAGGGTTGGAGATGTGACCTGGACAGTCAGGGTCAGCGTGATTAGCTCATTGATTTGTTCACATGACCGAGGCCAGGCCACTGAGCATTCGCCCTGGAAGGTTTGCTGGAATTCTCTTTGTCTGGGGTCAATAAGCTCATAGGAAGGGATCCTGGAGCTGCTGGGGGGCCTGGCCAAGCGGAGAGCTGAGAGACAGAGGAGCAAGGACACAGCATCCTTTTGACATAATTTGAGCCCCTGGATCCAGCCATTCCTGAAGCTAGACTCTCTCTGGTTTTCCTACTTAGGTCAGCCAAAAATGACCTTCTTTTACTTTGGGTTTCCATCACGTGCAACCTTATACAGGGCTTCAGTGAGATTGACAAAATTTGCTTCCTTGGAGGTGCCCTGCACTGCCCTCTACGCCAGCATACATGAGCTGTCCCCGCCAACCAGGTGTGCCTGAGACACTGACACACCCCCATCCTTGGGGCAGCCTGGCAGAGCCTGGGCAACTGGAGCCCCTGGGCTGTGCGCCGAACTTTAGGGAGGCCCAGGTGAGCAGGTGGGGCTGATAGTGGCCCTGTGGTGTCCCAAAGGCCTCAGGAGCACTGTCAGCCTCAGTGGCATGTCTTGGCCTGGGCAGGGTGCGGGGTGCAGCCAAGGAGACGCTGCCGCCTGGACGTCGATGATGGTAGCCAGCCACAGGGTGCCCTGATGCCTGAGTTGACAAGGGCCATGGGACTGGTGGGACTTGAGTTCCACGTGCTCAGAAGCAGTAGGTGCAGACGCAGGAAGAGGGGCGGATGGGGGTGGGTACCGGGTCAGGCCCTGCTCCAGGCAGCTTGTTTGAGTCTCAGCTTCACACAGACACTTCTGCCGGTGTGGCTGATGGGTCCCTTTAGGGGCAACCGTGCCACCTGCAGGCAACCGTCCTCACCATGCATGAGTATGCTACAATTTAGTGCTTTGTCATTATTTTGACATTCTCTATATAAAGAAATGAGACTGGATTCAAAATCCCAAGAAGTTCCTGCATTATAATTGCCCAAAAAAAGAGATTCTTTTTTTTGATTTTTTAATTGGGGAATTGGGGAAGGGGAACAGTGTTGGGGAATTGGGGAAGGGGAACAACCAAGTTGTCCTTCAATCTTAGTTGTGGAAGGCGCAGCTAGCTCAGCTCCAAGTCCAGTCGCCATCCGGCTGCCCATCAGCAGCTCACGGCTGCTCAGCTCAAGGTGCTGTGTTCAATCTTAGTTGCAGGTGGCATTCCATGTGAGAGTCGAACCGGCAACCTTGTTAGGAGCACGTGCTCTCACCAGCTGAGCCATCCTGCCACCTGTTGGCAGCTCAGCGGCAGCTCAGCTCGGGTGCAGCTCACTGGCCCATGTGGAAATCAAACTGGCGACCCTGTTGCTCAGAGCTCGCGCTCTTAACCAACTGAGCCACTTGGCTAGCCCAAAAAGAGAGATTCTTAAAATGTAATTTTGACCATTGTAAGTTTTTTGAGGTGGCAAAACAAAATTTCCTACACCTTTTTTTAACCACTTACTTGTGAAAGCAAAATTTCTTGACAATGACGACTGTTAAGAATTTGAAGCTTTCATCATTGAAGCAGGGATCACAGGTGGCCGTGAGCTTGGAGCCTGGTGAAGGGTACATTCGTGAAAAGAAATTCTCATTTGGATTTTTTAAAAGATTTTATTTACATTCCCCATGAAATACGTTTCCTACCCTTTGTAATTTATTTGTTAATTTGAGATACGTAATATGCAGGGGTGGTGAATTTTTTCCCACAGCCCCAAAGGGGCATGCCTAAAACCCCACTTATTTACCACATTTTGCCACAAAAACATTACCAGTTTTGTAAAACTGCTTTCTACCTCTTGGGATGTGAACTCGGGCTGGTCTCATGATCTGGAGGCTGGGGAGAGGGGGGAGCTTTCCTGGTCACGCGGTAACCTCCAGCACGGAGCCCAGCAAGGCCTGTCCAGGGTGGGCTCTCAGTGACAACGTGTTGAATGATGGAAAGAACAAATGAATGAGTGAATGAATGAATGAAGGGAAGGAGGAAGGAAGGAAAGAACTCCCGCTTCCAAAGAGTGAGGATATTTTTCCTTCTAGTCATCGCTGTCCACCAGGAAGAGGTCTGGCTGCAGCTCGTCAACTGAAATGAGAAGTGGCTTCGCTTCCGGACTCTCAGCCCCCGCCGTTACAATGGTCATCCATTTTGTTGGGGACCAGAGGTCACTGACGGCGAGAGTGCATCCTTCCTGTCTCGTTTCTCGTCCTCCTGGCAGTGTTGGTGGGTCCTGTTAACAGAGTGGCCCTTCCAGGTGTGGCCCCCGTGGCCCCTGCCTCCTCCTTGCGTGGTGCCCCGCTGCTGGCTTCAAAGGCGGCCCTTTCAAGGGAGCAGACATGGCTCAGCTGTCTGCGCCCGTGAATAGTTATGAATTTGGGCGGGAACACTAGAAAAATGCAAGCAGCTCTGATTCCTGTGCTTAGGGCCAGTCAATCCACCCGGCTTTGAAGCCCCAGCTGGGGCATCTGTGCAGCTTCCAGGGGAGCAGAGTTCAGGGGAGGAAGACAGATGGCTGAGTCATTAGCAGAGGATGAGGGGACAGCATCCTCAGGCGAGAATCCAGAGTGTCGCGTGGGTCGCGTGGGTTTCTGCATTTCTTTGGCGATCTCTGAGCCTTTGGAAGAATAATTCCAGAATGCCGCCTGCCTCAGTGGCACTTTTGGGAGTTGGAAAAGAGTGGCCCTCTGGGCGTCACAGGTCCTCAGGCCCATGGCTGGCCAGTGGGTGGCACCCTTGCGTGAGAGCAGTGTACCAGTCCCAGGGGAAAGCGCAGGTGGCCAGGGGGAGAAGTCTGGAATGCAGGCTGGGGCAGGCTATGAAGAAGGCTTTGATGTCCATGCCAATGAGTTTGGCCTCATCCTGTGTTTGAGGGGAAGGCCAGGTATTTCCAGTCAAGTGAGGTGTACCCCAAAACCTAGACCTGAGGAAAACCTGGTCTCCTTCCTAATGGATATAATTGGCTCTGGTGGTTTTGAAACATGGCCCCAGAATGCTTGACACTTCTCCTGTGGAGGAGGAGTCTCTATGTCCAGAGACTCCACATGCTTCTGCTTGAAAGTCGATGGCCTTGGGACAGTTTTGAGCGATGGCGTAGAGTGAACGTGAGTCTGCATGACTTCCAAGGCTAGGTGACACAAGGCTGTACAGCTGCCACCTGGCCCTTGGAGAACTGAGTTGCCATGTAAGAAGTTCAACTGCTCTGCGGGCAGCTTGCTGTGAGAAAGCCCAAGCCACATGGAGAGGCCAGTGTAGACGATTGGGTTGTCAGTTCCAGCTGAGGCCAGCCTTTGAGTCATCTCAGCCCAGGCACGGGACAAGTGGGTGAAGGAAACGGCACACGCTTCCAGCCCCCTGGCCATCCCAGTCTCGCAGCGGGGGCCCTAGACATTGTGGAGTTGAGCCAAGTCACCCACAGCGAGCCTCCTCTGAATTTTTGAGCCACAGAAGAGTTAAATGGTTGTTTTATGCCACGAAGTTTGGGGTGGTTTGTTACACAGCAACGGATCACTGGAACATTGTCAATAATCTGAGTAAGCCAGAGATCTTAACCCCAGCTGCTTTCCCTTGGACAAGGCGTGCAGTGAAGATGTGAGAACGGGGCCTGGTGAGGGACCTGTGCCTGGTAAACAGACACCCCGCTATGGCCCTGGAGTGAGCCCTGTGTGACACCTGGAGTGAGCCAGTAACGTCTTGGTCAATGTGAATAAAGAGCTTTAGAGACACCCCAAACTCCAGCCAATGTCATGTGGGGCAATCTTGGGGAGAACCAGCCACTGAACGGGACGGTAGTTTCTTTTTTTTTTTTTATTGTTAGTTTCAGGTGTACAGAACAATGTAATAGTTACCCTTTTCACCCTCACAAAGTAACAACCCCCCTCCCCCCATCCACTGCCCTCCCACCCCCGATATCATGCT